AATGGTGTAAGAATAATTTTTTTATTAACATAATTATCATTAATGGAAGCATGATATCGCCGGCATTTTTTTCTAGTTCTGCAAATCAAAAGGTAATAAAATATCTAAAATATCTAAAAACATTTTTCCAAACAGCCCATGATTATTTAGGTAAGGACAAAAAAAGACTTTAAATTTTTAAATTAAAAAATAAACAAAAACAGTGTAAAGGATTATATTGATAAAAATTAAATTAATTTAAGAGTTAATTTATTTTTATTTAGCTACATATACATGTCAAATCATCAATATATTTTATACATTAGATTATTATTGAGAGTCAATTTATATTTTAAAAACTTAAAGGACTTACATGATAATTTAAGAAAATATAAAAGATCAAATTGATATAAATTAAACTTAAAGAATCAAATTAATAAATGAGATAAATTTAAGAGGCAGAAAATTTTACTATGCCACTATATTATATTAATTGGATAAAGCTTAAAAAAAGTTTTAGTCGTTATTAATATATATGAACTCTTGCTCCCCTAATCTATTTTCCCGTAGTTCGTCCCAATTCACACCATTTTCTCATTATCATTGATCAGCCAAATGACAGAAAAGAACCACAAGAATTATAAAAAACGAATCAAAAATTATAATGAAGGCTCCAAAAATTATAGATAAGGATATAAAAAACTATATAAAGGGATCAAGAAATTCTTTTTGATCATTTTCTATAAATTTTAAGGTCCTTTTTTTTGCCTTTTTTTGGTCACTTAATGATCAAACTTAACTTTTATTAATAGCAAAAATTAGATAATACCATTTTTAAAAGTTAAAAGGGAATACATTGTATAAAAGATGAGTTTGGTGTTTTAGATACTTCTGGACTTATAGTTTAAAAGTTAATTGCTTATTTATCCTTAATAATATAATAAAATCTAGTTAATCAATTTTTCTTATGTATCGACAATTAAAATAAATTCAATGGAACCCCTTGCTTATGGTCGTAAGTGAATTAGATTTCAATTTCACAATATTTGCTAATTTTTCTTTTTTGTTTTTTTTTAACCTATTTGACATCACATTTAGCATTTAATGGTGGCTCCTTTCGGTCTTTGTCGTTGAGAAATTTCTGTGAAGCAAATGAGGCCTCATATTTTAACATTTTCATTTCTACCATTCACATATTGAAAGTGTAATTAAGCATTGACAAAGTTTAGTATCTTAAATTTGTGTCAGTTATTGATATAATTTAATTTAATAGTGGTTCCTTTCTGTCATTGTCATTGAGAAGTTTTTGCAAAGCAAATGAGGCCTCATCTTTCAATGTTTTCGGTTCCACCGTTCACATATTAAAAATAAAAGCGTATGAAGTTTAGTCCCTTGAAATTTTGTTTACCTAAGTTTCTCGTTGTTGAAGCACAAAAGTTTGGTTGGTCCCTTCTTTTGTCTCTCTTCCTTCTCGTATTTGTTACTTTTTTCCATTCAATTGATGAAGTGAGCGATATTATCACTAATTAGTTAAATTATAATACTGAAAATAACACAGTCATAGAAGAGGCCAAGCTAAGTATGATATATGACATGCTTAATTATCCGTATGAGAATACAAAATGAAAATAGTTTATAATTAAAAAAAAAAAAGCAAATTGGCTTCTCAACTATAAGTTGCACCTATAATCATAAATTCAATTTTTATATAATTTTTTTTTTAATTTTTGAAAACCGTGTAATATAACTTTTGTTATTAATAAAAATTAACTTTGATTATTAGTTAATCAAAAAATAATAAAAAAAAACTTCAAGAATTACCAAAAATTGTAGTAAATAATCCAAAAATTATAGACAAGGACCTCAAAAATTACATAAAAGGATCAAAAAATGTTATAGTTCTTTTCTATAATTTTTTATGTTTTCTTTGTGATCAATTAACAGTCAAAGTTGACATTTATTAATGGTAAGGGTCAGGTTATACCATTTTCAAAATTTAAAAAAAAATATTGCCAAAATATAAATTTATGATACTAGACGTTTTTAAACGTATAGTTTGGAGTATTTTTCTCATTTACCCTTGATAATACAATGAACCACAATTAAATTTATCCAATAAAAATATGATATTTAGATGGTATTAAATATAAATTAATTTAATATTAATGATAATGGAGAGAGAAAAGGAAAAAAAATAAATGTGCATTCTATTATAAAAATAAAAATTATTTAAAAATGTCACGTAAGATTTTATTTAGATTACTTAAAAAATTTTTAAATGGACATATCACAAATGATATGGTATACTCAATCAATCCAAATATTTCTCTTATAATAAATTCAATGGAACTTCTTGCTTAATGGGCAAGGATCGGTGATCCATCACAAGGCAAGTAGAAAACATGTGAAAAATTTATTTAGTTATTGAATTTTCTCAATTTTAGAAAGGATAATAATGTTTGCAAATTAATTATAGATTTAAGGGGATAATTCAACATTTAAACTCTTTCTAAGTGTGAAATTCGCTGTAAGTTTCACATTCAATAGTTACTACATTAAATATCTGATACTGAACTTTTCACGAAACAAGTGGGTTGATAGATTGAGAATCTTATTCTTTTTCCTCCCTTTCCCATATTATCTCTTGATTATTGAAAACTAACAGTTAGATAGAAATAGTTTGTAATACGTTAACATATGGAAATGCTATTCAAATTAATTCACGTATGTGATAATAAAAGGGCGAGGGTCATTTTTCTTCTCAAACAAATTTTTTTATTTCAAACTGCTTAAAACATGAAACATATGTAGATATATAAACCTTAACAATTATTTTGACAGATGAAAGGCTATTTTCACGTTCTGGTCTTCATATAGATTTATACATTTCCTTTAACATTTTTTGCTTTTTCCTTTTTTTTTCTGTGCTTTTTTTGTTTGCCCATTATTTAAGTTTGCAATCAGCATTTAATGGATTGCCCCGTTCAGTCTTGATGGCTGAAGTTTCCAGGGAAGCAAATGGGACCTCATATTTAAGTTTGATAGCCCCACTCAACTAAATGTAGTTCCATGAATCAAGCAGTAAGTTTATGTGATTAATTGTCAGAACTTCATCCTTCAAATGTGACTCTCACATATTAATTTGTGCTTCAGGTAGGGTGGTTGTTTGTTTTGGCCAAAAAAAAAAAGACAGGGTGAATGTTTCTTATATATATATATTTGTAATTAAAAGAATAATTTCAAAATTGTCTTGTGAAAAAAAATAGGAACGAGTATATTTTAAGCACAAGTGCACACTAACGTAATACAAGCATGATAAACAAATATTACGACATCCGCTTATTATGTTTGTGCATCTTATAAATATTACTTATTGCATCCACCGCCCCTCCTCTTTCTTTTTCTTTGTTTTTCCTTCATCTCCGAATATTTACAATAATAGATCTAATATTTTAAGAATACATATTTGGAAAGAAATTATATTTCATTTTCCAGCACATATCCAGCCATACTGCCGTAGTTCAGTTATAATACACCAGATCATAGTACTGAGAAAAAAATTAACACAAATTCATGAAACTATAAAAAATAAATATAATAAGATTTGATTAAATTTGGTTCAGGTTTCCATAGACAAAAACCTGAATCAATCCAAACCAACTAATTTTGTTAACAAAAAAATTAAACTAAACTTTATTTATAATCAATTTTAATTTGTTCATGTCAGGTTTTGTTTGATTTAATTTTGTATCATTGATTTGGATGGATTTTGAATACCTTTGCCAATATACACTTCAACTTCAAGGGTTTTTTAGGTACTTGATAGTTGATAGTATAAATACATATATTATATAAATTATCCAAAACTCCATATAATATCAATATATTATTAAACTTAATTATATTCTTTTTTTATATTTCTAATTTTGTTTCTTATTCCAGTTCCTTATGTTTTTTTGTTCTCTACAAGAAACCGAGACAAATATAAAAATAATACAGTTTTGGTTCGTCCTTCATTTATTTATCAATTTTCTTTACTTCAGAATGATCAGAGCTCGCTGTCATGATAATTTCACCGAAAGTCTATGGAATTTGTTTTGCTTTTATGTTATTTATTTTTCTAAATTTTATCTTGTGTGGAATAGTTTTTTGAATTAAAAAGTATTTAAAATTTTAAACTTAAAAACAATAAAAAAAATATGGCCATGCTTCAAAAAAGCTAACCCTAAATTATATTCATGCTTTTAAAAAACGGGTCTTTTTAGACCCTGAGCCATTAAAAGCCAGCCCTAATTTCTATCTCTCATTTCACAAACGTTTGCTGATTTTTTTTCCCCATTTAATATTGAACTTAGCATTTGATGGCAGTTAGCCATTAGTATTAAGAAGTTCATGCAAAGCAAACCAGGCCTCACATTTCAATGTTTTCTTTTCCACCATTCACATGTTAAAAGTCTCGGATGTGGTCTTATTCTTTAGGGAGAAAATGGCACTATTAAAATATGCTGACAAGATTTATACCCAAAAAAAAAATGCTGACGAGATAATAGAGACTAGAGTATGGATAAATATCATGCAGATTACTAAAAGAAAAAATTATATATAAATCCAGTGAAACATATTTATTTATAAATAAGTCTTGTAAAATTGAGAAACCACAATCAGGTGTCTTAGAACCTAAGTGTAATTTAAAATTAAAATAAAATGATAATAATACTCTCATTAAAAATACATTACATCAATCAAATGAATTACTACTACTTCATTAATAATTTACAACTATTTGACCTTTCACAATTGTAATTTTATATATCTAATATTTAAACTGATCATGCATTATAAGTTTAATATTAATTATATATAACTAACTCATCAGTAATTTACAACTATTACTTTAACATTTTATTACTTTAACTTTACATATCTAATTATTAAATCAATTATCAATTACTAACAAAGTTTAATATTAATTATTTATAACTATTTTATTAATAATTTACCTCTATAATTTTAAATTTTTATAATTATAATTTTATGTATTCAATAAATAAAAGCACTTGTAACTATTGAATTCTCTCTTGCATTTCTTTCTTTCTTTCTTTTCCTTTCTTTTTTTTTTTTTTTGGGTTCCTCTCATCGTACTGGACAAAGGGTAATCATGATGTAACTATTGCAGAACACCAGCCTCATTGCTTTGTGTGATTTAAGACAAGGATGACAGCTAGTGAGAACTAATACCAGGAAAACAATTTTCTTTTCTTTTTTTTCAAAAAACACAATCTAACGAGTCACACTGTGTGAGAGTGTTAAGTTATATAAACGTACTGCTTGTTTGGATAGAGGAAAGAATCGATTATAAGAGCCAAAATCATGATTTTGATTAAAAAAAAAAAAAACCCAAACACCCTCTTTTTCATAATCGATTATTTATACCAGAATCACGTTTTAGTATAAGCTGTGGAAAGTAGCTTATCAGATTCAATTTTGCCATTATTTCATTTATTGCATGTCAGAAATTTTACCTCCCAGGCGTACCCCCCAGCCCAACAAGTTTCAGTCATTCGGGCTTTGACTCCCCCCAACCATGCACTGCCTCCTCCCTTCTCCCGTGACAGACCTTCCTCTCTGATCTCCCGTGAGTTTTAGATCTCCTCCCATCTTTCTGTTGTCCTCCAACCTACCTTTCTATCATCCTCCTCCCATCTCTGTTATAATGTCCACTTGACATTATCAAAACAGCACTTTAATACACCGTTATAATAATTAAGATTAATTAAAATTTCTAATAAAATTATCACAATTCAAAAGTTTAAAAAAATAATTTAAAATATTAAAATTTCAAGAAAATACTTTTTGAAATACCAAGTAGAATTTGCATAGTTTTCAGAGAGAATAACAATAGCAACAAGAGAATAATCCTCAATTGCTTGAAGCAATTCTTGTGATATATCTTCGCCTCTCTCAATTGCTTCATCGTCCCTAAAAGTGATAACGTCATTCCAAGTCAAAGCAGCGTACAAATGATGAGTAAAATTCAAGCGAGTGTCCTTTCCTGCAAAACTCAAGAAAACACCATATTTCCATTTTGGAGTTGATGAATCAGAGTTTGAGGAAGATTCTCCTTGGACGTAATAAGCCATTGCAGGGCTTTGATCTCCTGGTTGCATTCAAATTGTAATCTGCAACAACTAATTAACAGCATAATCAGATCACTTCTTGTGAGAGAAGAAGAAAAAGAAATGAATAAGAAAGATATTAAAAGAAGGGTATGCTGGGCAAGAAGAAAAATCACATCATCTGTGTAACGCTCGAAATGCGTATGATGAACGATATGCTGTTATTACTTCAAAGATCTTATATATACTTTCGCTTGAGCTCAATGCTATTATCTGAGAGTCAACGAACCACGTACTTAAATGAAGAATACATATGCCATAAAATAATTGGCATTAATATTATTTCAATAATATTCTGTTAATATATTGCCATGGCTGATTATTATATGGCATGCTAAATTGGATTCCAGTCTTGTCTATTTTCGACAATGCTTACTTCGCTGGATAATTGATTGACACTCACGCCCGCCGTATTTTGCGTGTTAAATATAATATTTGAATTTTATAATAAGTCAAAAATATGCCACTGGAACAGGCAATGTCAGGTTGGCAGAGTCGTTTAATATGCCAATTTGCAGTCAAATTGTAAAGATTTTTTTTACTTTTTTCCCCCAATGGAAGGTCAAGGAAAATCAGCGCGGCAAAATAATAAATTAAGTTGTATCAAAGCTTAATAAGATTCTATCCCCTAAAGGTTGTTCATAAAAAAAAAAAAAAGCTATCAAAAGCACCATGTGAAGCCTGAGCTAACAATTTGTGTCTTTGTTAACTTTCTCCAAAATGATCCAAGATAACTATCCAATTTTATACAGTGAGGTACAATAGAATTATGTTTGATTTTTATTTTTATTTATATATATTATTTTTAAATGTTCTTCATATATTATTTATATATATTAATTTGCATTGGCAGTGGTTTGGGTCAACAACCGCTACCAACATTATCATATTTTGCTGCGGTTCTTTCAAAGCATTACTATGGAAGCCCTTATTAAAGGAACTTTTTCTTTTTTGGGGGTAGTGTTCACCGAGTAACTACAAAAACTGTTCTCAGAATTAGGAAAGAGCATTGGTTAACTCGATTCGGTTCGGTTGTGATTAAAGAAAACCGACAAATTAAAATTTAACAATTTTTTGAACCGAATCAAACTGAAGTTTTGAAAAAACCGAACTAAAACCGAACCGAATTTTAATGATTCAGTTCGATTATTTATTTCAGTTATTGGGCCTTTTTTTGTCAACAAATTGGGCTTGTCTCCAAAAAAAGAACATCATGCTAATTAAGAAATAATTTAAAACACCAAATTCCCCTAACTAAAGTGGAGGAAAAATGATCTGGACTGGTCTAGTGGACCCTGTAAAATCTTAATTCTTGAAACCTCAAACAATTATAAAATTAACATGACAAATATAAATAGTGAGGAAAACAAAAGGGATCCTCAAAAACAATAATATGGACACTGGACAATATAGAAAAGCATATCAAAATAAAGGAATCAAATATAATACTAGTATTTCTAAAAAAATATTAATAAAAATAAAAACAATCCTTAATAATATAAATCAATTATAATATTTATAAATATATTTAATTAATTTTGATTTATTCGGTTTATTCGGTTTTGTAATCTTCAAATTAAACTGAACCATTTAAACTGAAATTTTTCTAAGAAAAAACCAAACCAAATAGATCAAACTCAATTCAGTTTCGATTCAGTTTTGCTCACCTCTACTCAGAACATAGAAAAAGATTAGTAACAGGTAACAATGACTCATTGTCATTTTAGAATTTTTTTTAAAAAACATTATTGCATTAAGAATTTTACCCCCTAGTAAATGAAACGTGCTTATTATTGAGCTCTTCTACTTTCACTTCAACCATTCATGCGACTACCAACCTGTTTTTAAGGGTGTATTTTGGTGAAGATTTGATAACATTAATTTATATAATTGATTTTAATTATAATTGGCTACCTTTTCTAGTATAATTAATTTATAAGATTGATTAACAAGTTTTATTTTGAATCAGTTGTAGTTTTCTTAAAAATTCCAAATATCCCTGTTTTTTATTAAAATCAATTATAAATCCACAACTACAGATTTTTCTTAAAAATATCCAAATACATGCCAAAATTAATTATTAATAGAAAAAATAGTGTTATCTTCTAAGCTACTATTACTTATTTTTTAAAAATACCTTCCTAAAATTTCATCTAAAAACCATATAAATAAATTCTATTATATAAATTATGGTTTTTGGTTCATAATTAATTTTACATGTATTAGCGTTCTTTGGATGTTTTTAACAAAAAAAATCATATTTTTATATTTATAATTAATTTTGGCATGTATAATGTTTGGATATTTTTAAAAAACTATGATTTTGTGTCAATAATTGATTTAGGCATATGATAGAGATGTTTGGATATATTTTTATAAAATTATAATTTTGGCCTTCGAAATTACTTAACTTTGATATCTATGCACTAATAAAATTGTTGAAAACCATTCACAGATGATATGCACAAGCTCTGAAGTAGAAGCTCCCAATATTCAAATTAGGCGGTTGACATCCCAATTATTTGCTGACATGAAATGCTTTGTTCTTGGGACAACAAATGTTCGCCTTTGTTGATATATTTTATTTATTGAATTGCTGCTGCGAGTAATCATCAGAGATTATTGCCCAAAAACATAGTTAAAAGACTATTTTTATTTTACATTATTCATGCTTCAAAGCATTCAAAAGTACTGAAATTTTTTAATTTATATGAATTGCCTAAATTTCATCCATACAACCCCCACACAAAAAAAAAAAGGAAAGGAAAGGAAAAAAAAGACGCCAAAAAAGGACAAAAAAAAAACAATTTGTTTAGTAAACACTTGACTTTGCGAAGTAAAGTGAAATTTGCATAGAGTAGCTCGATCATAATTCTCCCTGAAACAATTTAGGTTCTGTCGCATATGCTCCCTGGTTCGGCCAAGCTGCTTCATCACAATGGCAGCAAGGACCAAGAAGAACAGTGGACATCATGTTAAAGAAGAGATTATAAACTCTAAATTATCATGATAATCAAATTTACTTCAGCCAATACAATGCATGGAGGCTAAAATTATATCGTTCCACTCAGCTATCAGAGATTGTAATTAATTTGATATACATATATATACACATATATATAAACATATTAAAGAACTAAACAAAAACAAGTGTTTCAAGTCATTTGCCATGTCATTCATTGAAAACATTATTGGACAACGAGACTAATCCCGAAGCAGTGGTGATGAAATGACAATCCTGTATGACCCCTCCTAGTACTCTGGACAAGATTAGTACAAGAGCTACGTCCACAACGGTAAAAGCATCATAATCGATTTTTGAACAAGAAGATCAGAATAACCACCATGTTGATAACATTCCTTGGGCTACCACGGTCCCAGCAGCTACTAACATTCCTTCCTCCACGAGTTACCTTGTACTGGAGGTGGCAGCTCAACACGGCAAACATGACACGAGTTATGCTGAACGAACCATGGAACAATACAGTCAGAGTGATAGATATGGTTACAGGGTATTTGCCTCCTCGGAGCCTAGTTCAAATCTCTCTTTGTAGACTGGACAGTGTGATTCAGAGCGAAGATGTGCTCGTGTGATCTTAATGGTAGGCATTAGCATCGATATTGAAGAATGTGAGGCTGGAGGAGGACCTCTATGATCATTCATGGTGAGACGTTGAATGAATGCTCCCAGCCCAGGGCCATCAATAAACCACTGAGCCCAAACCTTGGTTTAGGAACTCTCTTCCCCATTAAAGCACGTATGGCATCAAAAAGGTCGGGCATTTGATGAAACTCTTGGAGAGCGTTAAATGGTTGAAAGGCATGCATCTCAAGTTCTTGCACAAAGCGTTAATCACAGTAAGGGCATATGACTTCCCTCCCTTCAAGCGCCATCGGATGTGCACACTCATAACACCAATGTGTTGCTCCACTTGACATCTAAATGGTAATTCTGCATCTAAAAGCCAAAATGCTTCACAAGTTAATTATACTGCTTCATATTCACGTTAGGTTGGTAGTCGCTTGATTTGTTGAAGGAAGAGTAGAAAGGGATAAATTGAACAATAGAAAACGTGAGTCATCATTACCTATTTTTCTCTGTTTTTAAAAAAATTCAAAGATATTCTCTGCCTTCATCTGTTCTGCATGTTTCCATATATATATTAACTGAGTGGAAGAGTATAAATAAACAGGACAACAGCATACGTGAGTCAGGATTACCCAAGGTTTTTATTGTTCTGTCCAAAGCAGTGCGAGGAAGGCAGACCTCAGAATCATCAATCTGTTATTGAGTACTTGATTTGTTCAAATAATTATTGTGCCTCCACTCTTCCAAGTCTTCTTCACACATCACACGCCATCCATAACCTCCTATCTTGAGCATCTCATGACATGGAGAATGAAAGGTAAATTTGATATGAAGGCAATTATCATGACCTCTTAGATGTTGCCAACATGTTTTCTCGTTCATATGCAACACCATTATGCAGACGTGATGACCCTCCTTTTCAACAACGCGAATTTCATGGGCCCACTTTTTCCTTACGTAGTGATCATCTTCAAGAGCTTTTCTACTCCATGAAATGTGAAAACTATCAAATATACACGGCATGATTTGTAACTTGATGCAAACAGCAAGTCCGGACCATTCACTTGCACGAACATGCTGAGGGATGTTCATCACTAACTCATATTTATATCTATACAAATCTGAGGCAATATAATCTTTATTTGGGAACCATGATGGTATTTCAGATCCCCAAATAATTGCTGAACAATCTCTCTGGGGAAGATATTCTGCTCTGTGCAATTATATTAACATATTATGAACAATACTTGGCCAGAACAGTAAAGGAGCATGTTGGAAAAAATTACACAGAAAGGGACTGTCAAATATCTCAATGTGCTTGAGCAGGGTATTCCCATATTTAACTTGATGGCGATACTCAAACAAGCAAATAGTATGTTATATTGGTGCTTTCATGTATTGTGGGGGATTTTGGACATTTTTACTCCACAACTATTCATGCATAAGTATATGTCCAGTATTTTA